CAATAGTGGTGGGGTTTTTTTCACTGTCCAAACATGAAAGTGTGTTACATCACGCTCCTCCCACTGTGATGTCCTCCAGAATTTCTGCAATCACCTGTCCTCTGCTATCCCCCAGCACCCTCTGGTTGTTCACAATGCCCAGGCTACTTACAGGGCTCCAGACCTTCCTCCCTCCACTCCTGTGTGTTTAGCCCTCTTCCCACACCCATGCTTCACCCGTCCTGGCCACTGTCCCTAATTCTTCCCAACCTCCCTAGGTACGCTAAGATTACAAGGTTGTTGATTTTAACGAGCATTCACAAAGGGTTAACGGCGATGGAAAGAGTGCACACAACGCACGCATCTGACAATAGAAAATACGGTAAAAGCTTGGATTGCGGACAACTTGTGGCTGGGAGTGTTCCGCAAGACGAGCAAACATTCCTCATAAATTTTCACTTGATAAATGAGCGATGTCTTGTAATATGAGTAGTACGAGACGCCGGATGTCGCATGATCACAACCGAGCCAATGGTTCCTCTCTCTCTCTCTCTCTCTCTCTCTCTTTCTCTCTCTATCTCACACGCGTGCGCTGTGGGACTGTGGGTGATCATCTCCCACGCTTGGATGCTTGGTCTCAGGCTGTGGTGTTTGCAGAAATCAGTGATCTTTCAGAACATTGGAAGGTGCCCACAACTGGCACTTGTGTATTTTATGTCACTTCCAAGCACCTATGGCCAGTCCCTTGTTTTTCCATCCAAGAGTAAGCTTAGGAATGCTTTGCTTCCTTCTAGGTCAGGCTGCCTGCAGATATAGACCCTTTCCTTTGCTGTCTTATTGCCAGTTACATGAAATACAGTAAATGACAAGAGTTTATTAATACTGTATTGCAGTCAACATCCGTTAGTGATAGTGAAAGTCTCCTACACAATAACCCTCCTGTGTCTTGTCTCTCTCACACCAGCCATGAAGTTTGCAAACAGAAGTGCAGGTTAATTTGTTTATTTTTCTTTATATTTTGTATTTTCTTTGTTATATTGTATTGTATTTCAGTACTGTAATCATTTTTATATGAATATTTTTGGGTTGTGTAATGAATCATCCGAATTTCCATTATTTCTTGTGGGAAAATTCGCTTTGATATACAAGTGCTTTGGATTATAAGCATGTTTCCAGAATGAATTATGCTCGCAAACCAAGGTTTTCCTGTATTGATGGGCAACGGCTTCCTGAAAAAGTAATCTGCCATTGTCTTCGTAGTTTCCCAGTGACCGCATCTTCCCTTGGCTGCAACCTCTCTGATCTGCTGGGCTTTTCTTTTTCCCTTTACTGATCCTTCTCGCCTCTCGAGCCGCTGGCCTCCAGCCCCCACACTTCTGATACTTGTCTTAGGCCTTCGCGTTCACTTTCTTCCACCCAGACTGGGCTTTACACCAGAGCAACTGGGAGTCTTGTCCATGTTATAGCATTACTTGCTTCATCATACCACGCGCACCCCAGAGAGCCTGGAATCCGCCCCATTTCCTCTCCCCTTTATTCACCCAATTTGAGAATCGCTGCTCGAATCTGACAGTTTAACCGAGAAGGCAGCATGAGGGAGTGGAACCAATGTGTTTGGTATTAGAACACCTAGGCTGAAATCCTGCCTTACCTATGACAGATGAGCTCTGCAACCAACCGTGGGCAAGTTTCTGCAGAGGAATTGGAATTGCCTGTCTCCACAGCATCCATTTCTTGCTTTCCCAATTTCCAACCCCTACCCACCACCCCAATCCCAGTAGGAATCCATGTGGTTCCGGGAAGTTTGTGAGTGTATTCCAGTTCTTTGACCCCAGGAGTTGATCCAGAGGTTGTTTTTTTGTTAATGTTTTTGGGTCAAGGTTATAATCCCCAGTTGCTTGGTCAAACACAAGTCTAGATGTTGCTGGAAAGGGTTTTTTGTTTTTTTTTTGTTTTGTTTTTAGATGTGATTAATATATTTTTTTAATTTTTTGTAACGTTTATTTATTTTTGAGACACAGAGAGAGACAGGGCATGAACAGGGGAGGGTCAGAGAGAGGGAGACACAGAATCTGAAACAGGCTCCAGGCTCTGAGCTGTCGGCACAGAGCCTGACGCGGGGCTCGAACTCATGGACCGCGAGATCATGACCTGAGCCAAAGTCAGCCCCTTAACCAACTGAGCCACCCAGGCGCCCCTTAGATGTGATTAATATTTAAATAAGTAGACTTTGAGTAAAGCAGATTATTCTCCACAATGTGGGTGAGCCTCACCCAATCAGTTGAAGGCCTTAAGAGCAAAGACTGGGATTTCCCAGTGATGAAAAAATTCTGCCTCAAGACTGCAGCCTAAAAATTCTGCCTGAGTTTCCAGCATGCTGTCCTGCAGAATTCAGACTCAAGGCTGCAACACCAACTCTTACCTGAATGTATAGGCTGCTGGCCTGCCCTCTCCAGTTCAGACTTGCCAGCCTCCACAATCGTGTGAGATAATTCCCGAACACAACTCTCTCTCATGTAGATGTATATAAATATTCCATCCAGAGGGCTGAACCTCTTCCTGTATTAACAGTTGGGTACTTTATTTTTTAAATACGTATACGTGAGAGAGAGATTTATTTTATATTTATAAATATACATACATATACATATATATAGGCAGTGTGGGTGTGCACGCGCCTCCTATTGGTTCTGTTTCCCTGGAGAACACTGACACATGTAGGTATGTCACCAAAACCCCGTTAAAGCTTAAGCTTTTTTCTGGGAATACTGGGACATAGCTACTCCCTTTGTTTTGAATGGTGGAGTCCTGATGTGAGATTTGGAACAGCTGCTAGGTGCAAGCTCTGGGCTCGGATCCTAAGATCTAATGCAGGCACTACCTCTTAGCACCTGTGGGACTGCTCCTTCCTTTCCTCGTATGCGAAGTGGGCTTATAGTGCTCACCACATAGGGTTAGGGAAAGGTTTAAATGGTTTACTACTTAGAACAGTGCCTGGATCATAGTAAATGCTCAATAAACGCAAGTGTCCCTGCCAATGCTGCTGCTGATGTACACGGCCTGATAACAAGCTGATGTACAAGAAGGGCAAGAAAATGGCCCCGTCAGAGCCCTGACGGCTTCTCAAACCTCTAGGTCAAACTGTCGTCGCTGTCAAAGCCATCCTGCATCTGGGTTTTTCAGTGACATAAGCTCATAAACTCCTTTCATTTTTTTACACCTATTTGGGTTTAGTTTTTATTTCATATCCAGTGCTGAACATCTTCCCGTCTTCACGGTTGGGCAGTTTCTTTTTTCGGATCCACAAGTTTGAGACCCATGGCCCTTTTCCCAGAAAATGGAGCTACCTGTCGACTCTATTAAGAGTGACGAGTTTCAGTGGCTCCAGGAACCCCATTTCGAAACCCGTCAGCAGGGTGGTACCTTCAGTTCCTGAAAGGTGATTTATTCCCCTATGGCAACTGCCCAAATGATTCCTGGGTGAGGTGATTTCAGTGAGGAGGAATCAGGAAGGGACTGGGAATGATGAAAAGATGATGGTCTTAAGGGACATGCAAATGAAAAACATAATAGGATACCATTTCAACTCACTAGTTAGGTAAAAATGTAAAAGTCTTAAAAACTCTAAGTGTTGACATGTATATAGAGCTAAGGGGACTTTTATATACTGCCGATGGGGGATGTAAACTGTAATCTACAAAACAAGGTATAAAAATTGGCATTATCACGTAAAGCTTAAAACATCTTTATTCTGAGGCAATAATATTTCTACCAGGTCTATCCATAGAGAACCTCTCAGATATGTGCCATATGAAACACTTATAAGAATGTTGGGCACTGCATTGTTGATCAGAGCAAAAAGACTGAAACAACCATACACAGGGGGATGGATAAATGAAATGTGGAGTCTTTACTTAAAGCATTCCAAAGACAATGAAAATGAATGAACTACAGCTACATGAATCGATGTGGCTAAATCTAAACATCATAGCTTTGATTATGAGCACTTGCAAAGTACATACTAAATATCATTTATATAAAGTTGAGAAATACACAGTAATAAATACATTCTTTAGGGATTTACCAAGGCTGGTGGAATGATCACGATTTATTTTCTAATGCAGTGGTGAGTACATGGGTGTTTCTGCTTGTCTTTACGTTATACATGTTATATTCTTTTGTATGCATGAAATATGTTCTTTTTATTGTGATAAAATCTGCATAACATCAACTTTAGCTTTTTAACCATTTTCAACTGTACACTTTAGCGGCACGCACTTAGGTCCAGGCACGTTGTTACACAACCATCCCCTACTATCCATCTCCAGAACTTTCCGTGATCCCAAACTGTGCTTTTGGCATCACAGCCACGAAATCATTGCCAAACTCAAGGTCATTAAGTATCTTTGCTCTGTTTTCTCCTTAAAGTTGCATCATTTTCCTTTTTAAGTCTAGGTCTTTGACCCATTTTAAGTTCATTTTTATTTATAGTGTGGTAAAGGCCCAACATTCTTTCGCAGAATAAATTTGTAAACAGAAAGAATCGGAGAATACTAGCTCCAGAAGGGGCCCTTCCCATTTACAATGAGGAAACTAGAATAGAGGTGAAAATAACAGGCCGAGCTCACACAGCTGGCTAAAGGGCGGCAGCAGAGTCAAACCCTGCCTTGTTGGCGATACATCGTTCTCACTGCCCAGGAGCCTAAGCGCCGGGAGCTCCCACCCGGGTTTGGACCGGGTACCCACAGCAGCACCGCGCAGCCTGGTTTCAGCTCCGGCTCCTCCCCTTCCCCGCCCCCTGGGCGGGCCCCTACGGCTCCGGAACTGCCGAGTTTAGGAAAACGGGCGCGGGCGCGGGGAAAAGCCCGGCTAACTATTGACGTCTCAGGGACCATCAGCAATTGGTTGGAAGGCGCTGACTCCAGATCCGCTTTCCTACAATCCCAGCCGGGATTTCTCAGGCGCTCCAGGACCGGGAGGACCCGCGGGATTAAACGGTCCGGGGCGGGGCGGGGCGTGCGCGCAGGCTCGGTCCAGATTGACCGCTTGGGGCGGCGCGCGGTTTGGCGGGATTTTTCTGGCTCCATTTACCCGCAGAGCCTTGGACTCGGATGGCTCCGTCGCGGCGGGTGCGGGGCCCGGGGCGCGGCGGGTAAGTACTTCGGTTCGTGCGGACGCAGCCCGGGCACCGGCGTTTACCTCTTTCGCTTCCTGCCGCGTTTTGTGCCTCTCGGAGCTGTTCGTGCTGCGTAGCGAGGCTCCCTGGCTCTGCCCCTGCGGAACTCTCTCAGGGTCTCGTCTTCCACCTATAAAATGGGAATATTAGCCCCAAGTGCATAGGGTGGCCGCGAGATTTAAAGCAGTTACAGCTGAAAACTGCCTGGCGGGTGGAAGAGGTTAGCTTTGTGTGCGCGAGTGTAGGCTGAAGCAGGCTGGAAGTATTTTGAAACAAAATATCCAACAAATAACTCATTGAGCCGCCTCCTGCTTGCCAGACTTTACATTCTAGAAAGTTTGTCCTCTGGCTGGCGGTCAGGATTCTTATTTTCGAGACCCTGCCGTGTTTGTAACACGAACGTTAAAGCTGAACCAAATCTCCAGCCGGTGCACCAAGCTGTCGCTTGTTACTCTTAAAAAGGGGTCCAGGATGGGTCACGCAGTTTTGTCTTAATCAAAAAGGGCATGCATTTAAATATAGGCTGCCAAACTGCTCTCCAGAATGTTATTTTTTTTAATTTTTTAATGTTTTTATTTATTTTTGAGACAGAGACAGAGCACGAGCAGGGGAGGGGCAGAGAGAGAGGGAGACACAGAATCCGAAGCAGGCTCCAGGCTCTGCGCTGTCAGCACAGAGCCCGACGCGGGGCTCGTACTCACGGACTGTGAGATCATGACCTGAGCCGGAGTCGGCCGCTTAACCGACCGAGCCACCCAGCCGCCCCCAGAATGTTATTTTTAATGGGTTCGTTGACAGTTGCCCTGCTGGCAGTGTCTTGAGCGCACCCGAAGGCCTGGTGTGGTCCTAGCTAAAGGGATCTCTGCCTGCTATGGTGGGGACGCAAGGTCATACATACACATGTCCAGGAGTTCCTCCTGGGCTGTGGGAAGACTCCCTGTAGGAGGTGGCATTTGTGGATGCAGGGTGACAGCGGAATGCAAGCCAGGCAGAGCTTAGGGGAAAGCCTGGAGCAGGACAGAGCAGGGAGGTGGAATGAACTGAGACTAGACTCCTGTGGGGACTCTTGATGGTGGGGGAGAACCAAAGACTCTCCCGATGGAGAGTCCCACTCTCTCCATGTGTGTGTATACATACAACATTTTTGCCTTTGAGACTCTTGAAATCTGTTCATCCCTCTCCCCCAAACTCACTGGTGCACATCTACCAAAACTTTTACATACGGTATCGCAGAGGTTTCCATCTTTGGAAACAGCACCTTGCTCCTACCCTTAGGGAAGGTGGAAACTTGACCTTTTTTTAAGCACAGAGGAGGCAAGAGCCAGGGGTCAAAGGAGGATAAGAAGTTCTGCAATCTGGTTTCTAGTCCTCTTTCTGTTACTTGGCTGTGTGACCTTTGATAAGTCACGTAACTTCTTTTTCCCGAACCCTGGAATCATAAATGCTGTAAAATGAATACCTGGTCTACCTTCTTCTTTGGAACGGAGAATCAAATAAAGCAGTGGTCCTTAAAGTGTTTTTAGAAATGTGCATTTGTTAGAAACGCAGCAGCTCAGATCCCATCCCAGGTGGATGGAATCAGAATCTCTGGGGTGGGGCCAAGCAGTCTGTTGGAAGCCTTCCAGGTGATTCTGATGTCTTAAGTTTGAGAACCACCGCTCTAAAGAGTTCCACGGTTTTGTTTACTGTGACTCACAGTAATGATGTTTTACATCCCAATTAATACACACGTGTGCACCACACACTTCTAGAACAACAACAAAAAAAGGTTATGAAAATCAAACGTTCAATGCAATCTTACATTTTCTATTCTTTTGTATTTCCTTTTTGAAAATACAGAAGAAGATGTTGAGGGAAATTCTGGGGATGTGGGTAGAATTTGAATATGGACAGTAGATTATATGATCCTATCGGTGTTCATTTTCTTAATTTGGAAATGGTACTGTGGCAATGCGTGATAATGCTCTCTTGGGAAAGGCACACTGAATTATTTAGGGGTAAAGGTGCACGTTGTCTCTAGTCTACACACACAGAGGGCGTATGAGACAACATGTGAACAGTAGGTGAACGTGGGTAGAGAATATACAGAATGTTCTTGGAATTCTAGCAAATAAAACATTACTCAAAGAAATATTGATTCCGACACGCCGGACTGATTTTGCTTTCCACGAATGGTGCCTGCACAGCAAGTCGTAGAGTCAGAGAGTGAGTAATGGTATCGTACCCAAGTACCCCCAGTGCCGTCCTGCGATGCCTGGTGCACGGAGGATCCACGGTACATGTTCACTGGAAATACTGTTTCCCCCCCCCCCCCCCATTTCCAGTCTGTATTTTAGTCACTGTTGTTACATCTTGTTTACGCCTGTTGAAGATCTGCAACTTTGTCCTTTTATCCCAGTGCCCAAGGGAGGGGCATTAGCGGTGGGAAGGGGAAAGCTGTGGATTTGAACTGCTGGAAATTTTGACGCGGGCGGCTTCTTGGCTGTGTGCCGCTTTGGGCAAATTTACTCTGCAGATGGGGTTCACTTCTACTTTATAGGACCGTTGGAGCTAAATGAGGAAATATACGTGCAAGAGCCAGGCACAGGCTAGAATGGGTGTCGGGTGCCTAGTAAATGCCAGCCTACTTCCCTTTTGCTCTATTCTGCTGAAACTGTCAGTCGCTACTATGACTTGTCCTCAGGGGAAAGGAAAGTAGGATGAAGAGTTTCTGTGTCCCTGAGGTGGAGAGGTGTGCGATTTTATACACCGGTGATATGATTTGACCTGTAAAAAAAAAAAAAAAATGTGTGTGAGAGACAGGTTCTGTGTTCCCAAAGGATTTTGCCATAACCTGACTTTCTCTGGGTGCTCACTCTCTGTGCAACTGATGACAATAATCTGGGGGGAAAAAAATGCTTCGAGAGGGTTGCAAGTTATGGTGTTTCCCCAGTTATTTTAAATATTTCCTTTTTGTGTGTTTTTGCTGTTCGATAGTGTGAGATCTTCAAAGAACTCTATAGGAAAAACACATTCCACGAAAGATGTAAGTTATCGTCTCACTTTAATATAATTATCTCATAACTGACAATACGAAATGATGAACGTTTTGTGGGGGGCTTCGAGTCGCGTAGACTTCACTCGGTGAGCTCAGCGGTCTATTGTAGTGAAAAGTGTATTCCTTTGCCTCCCACCTTTGCCAGTATATTACAAAAAATGATCCCTGGTAACGTTTTGAATCTTTTTTTCTGGGCCTAGGTTGGTTTTATTTTCATTTGGATAACTGATATCCTGTAAAAGTTTGTACAGCTTTCTGTGTTTTGCTCTTTTCACTTAGCCATTTGGCTAAAGTCCGGCATACCTGGCACGGAGTTCTTCAAGTTTTAAAGCTCCGCTCCCAGCCTGCCTTGGCGGGAAGTCCAAAGTGCCTGAGATGGCTTTCTTAGCGTTCCTGACTTCTCTCTTCTCTTGGAAGGCAGCTGGAAGCTGGAGGCTGATTTGCATCTCAGAGGATGGGAAGGCCTGTCAGCTCCCCTCTCTGGCATCCCACCCCCAAGTACTCCGTGACAGATTTTATAGTGAGGGTCTGTAAGTGGGAAAGTTTTTGCTTGGTCAATTTTACACCATCTCCTTTATATCTTCTAGAATTTCCTCATGCTTTCTTTTCTGTAAATGGCTTCCTTCCCCATTTCCCAGAGCTGTGATGGATTTGTTTTCTCATTTTCTGTATGTTTTGGTCTTTCATGAAGATTTGGGGTAGTAAATGTCATGGGGCCTGTGAGTATATTGAACCATAAACCCTTGTCTCTTCTTTGGGAGTTTTTACCCATGTGTATCCTTATGAACTTTCAGGTGCGTGGGGGAGAGGGCCCATAGCTTCCCCTAGATCAGCAGTTGGCAAACTATGGCCCGTGGGCCAAATCTGGCCTGCTCCCTGTTTTTGTACAACCCTGTGAGCTGAGAAAGATTTTTACCTTTCTGATTGGTTGGAATAAAATCAAAAGACAACTATCTCGTGATAGGTGAGAATGATACGAAATTCAAATTTCAGTATTCATAAATAAGGTTTTATTGCGACACAGCCATGCTTAATTCTTTCTGCAAGGTCACTGTCTGCTTTCAGACTTCCAGTGGCTGAGTTGAGCAGCTGAAACAGATGCAAAGCCTACTATATTGAGTCTCTGGTCCTTGATAGAATTTAGCCAGCCCCTGTCTTGGTTTTTCAAAGGGGTCTGTTTCCCCCAACTCCCCCCTCAAAAAGTGTTAAGGATCATTTCTTTAGGCAGCAACGATAGCAGGATTATCCTTTCTAAATAAATCAACTTTGTAATGTTCCCGGTTGTTACAACTAATTCAATGACTTTGACTTTATTCACTTTTAGAAAGCTGGCCCAGAGCAGAAGCCTACTAATGTATTTGATTTTCCCGATAATTCTGGTATCTCCAGCATCAGCAGACTGGGTGAACATGAGAAAGATGAAGAACCTTATGAAATCTTCGGTTAGTATTTTAAATCTTCATCTCAAAAACTTTAACGTAGTTTATCGTAAAAACTTTGGGCTAGTTACTAATAAAAATATGCATCGGGCTCTGTGCTGACAGCTCGGAGCCTGGAGCCTGCTTCAGATTCTGTGTCTCCCTCTCTCCCTCCACCCCTCCCCCGCGCTCTCCCTCTGTCTCTTTTTCTATCAAAAATAAACATTAAAAAAAAGGTTTTTTTTAATATGGACATCTTTTCAGATTTTAAAGATCAGCTGTCTGCATATGACTGTAGTGTTCTGGGGAGTACTTAATATTTTGAGTTAATTTTTCTCACTTTTAAGTACATTAGAAGTAAGAACTCTTTTTTTTTTTAATTTTTTTTTCTTTATGTTTCATTATTTATTTTGAGAGAGAGGGAGAGAGAAACAGAGCACGAGCAGGAGAGGGGCAGAGAGAGAGAGGGAGACACAGGATCTGAAGCAGGCTTCAGGCTCAAACCCACAAACCATGAGATCATGACCTGATCCAAAGTTGGACACTTAACAGACTGAGCCGCCCAGGCACCCCATTAAGAAGTCTATTAAACATTTATCAAAGCGGAACTCTTCTAGGAGCATTTGTCCACAAGCCAGTCCTAATAGGACACCTGTTATAGTACTCTGTGGAAAGAGGAATATGAACTATACTTCTCACTCCATATGACCACTCACACCATAGAGTGATTCAGTAAGGGGTTTTACTTAGAAGAGGGATAATTTTCCCTTTGCGGAAATACACAGGCAGAGGATGCTTCGGGAGAGCCAGGGGGAGAGCTCCATCTGTGTTTCTTGGAGTGTGAGGAAAGCAGGGCTGGCACCTGGTCCAGGTGGGACTGCTTCTGTTCACTTCACTGGCCACTTCAGAGGTCAAAAATGAGCAGAACTTGGGCACCTGGCTCAGTCGGTTAAGCGGCCGACTTCGGCTCAGGTCATGAATCTTGCGGTCTGTGAGTTCGAGCCCGCATCCGGCTGTGTGCTGACAGCTCAGAGCCTGGAGCCTGCTTCGGATTCTGTGTCTCCCTCTCTCTCTGCTCCTCCCCTGTGCGCGCGCGCTCTCTCTCTCTCTGTCTCTTTCTCTCTCTCTCTCAAAAATAAATAGATTTAAAAAAATTTTAAAGAAAATACCTCCTTTTCAGTGGTACATTAGTGTGGCCCCCAAATTGCACAACCGTCACCATTGTCTGTTCCAGAACATCCTAATCACCCGGGTGAGAAACTCTGTGCCTGTTGGCATTCAGTCCCCACCCGTCCTCCCCCCCCAGCCCCTGCCAGCCATACACCTCCTTCCTGTTTGTGCCTCTTCATACAAATGGAGTCCTACTCCGTGTTCATTTGTGACTGGCTTCTTGCATTTAGCAGAGTCTTTTCACGGTTCCTGTGTGCTGTAGCAGGCGTCATACTGCATTCCTAAAAAATGTTTTAGCTCCGTAATCCGTTGTTTGTTTGTTTGTTTGTTTGTTTTAAATTTTTTTTTTTAACGTTTTATTTATTTTTGAGACAGGGAGAGACAGAGAATGAATGGGGGAGGGTCAGAGAGAGAGGGAGACACAGAATCTGAAACAGGCTCCAGGTTCTGAGCTGTCAGCACAGAGCCCGACACGGGGCTCAAACTCACAAACCATGAGATCGTGACCTGAGCTGAAGTCGGCCGCTTAACCAACGGAGCCACCCAGGCGCCCCAACCATTTTTAAAAGTACATTTCTGTGGCATCACCACGCTCCCGTTGTCCTGCAGCTGTCCTCCCCATCCCCCCAGAACCTCCCCTCGCCCCTAACTGAAAGTCTGTGCCCATTAAGCCACACCTCCTCATTCCCCACACCTCCCAGCCCAACTTTATGTTTCTATAAATTTGACTGCTCTAGGTGCCTCCTTTGAGAGGAATCAGACGATATTTTTCCTCTTTTTTTTCCACTTAATTATGTCTTCAGAGTCCCCCCGTGTTGTAGCCTGTGTCCGAATTTCCTTTTGAAACCGAGTAATATTCCATCCTGTGTGTATGTCCAATCATCTGGCAGTGAACGCTGGGGTTGCCTTTACCTTGTGACTATTGGGAATAATGCTGCCATACACACGGGTGTTCAAACATCCATGGGAGTCCCTGCTTTCACTTCTTGGGAGCACCTACGCGGAAGTAGAGTTGCTGGATATAAGGTAATTGTGTTCGCTTTTTTGAGGCCACAACATTCATTTTACATTTGCACTAGTAATACAGTTTCTCCACATCCTCACTTGGGGTTTTGTTTTGTTTTGTTTTTTGATGCTAGCCATCCAAATGGATGTGGAGTAGTATCTCATTGTGGCTTCGAGTTTTATTTCCCTAGTGACTAATGATGCTGACCATCTTTCTATGTGTCTGTTGGCCCATTTGTGTATTTGGAGCTGCCTATTCAAATCATTTATCCATTTTTAAATTGGAGTATTCATCTTGTTAAAATTGGGGTATCTTTATGTGTTGAGGTGTGAGGGTCCAGTTTGCATGACTGGTTACACACGGAGATTCAGGATTGGTTTGTTTCTCTTTTACTCTTTGTGATGGGCAGTAGTGAATAAATCCCTTTGCCTAGTTGAGGGCAACACAGAGTATATTACTGATGTTAAAATTGTGCATGGACGTGTTCACTGCTTAAGCAACTGTCTGTCTGAACCCATGCCGTTTAATCCACACCATGGTGCTTACACTGCCACTGCCGGACTAAAATTGCTAAAATTCAAACACAAGTGGTAGCTTGGCTCTTACCAGGCACCCCCCCCCCAACCCCCACTTGCAGCAATTCAACTCTCCCATTCCTGGCCGCCTCCCACCCTCCCCCAAGCTCTCCCCTCTTGCCACCAGCCCAGCCCCAGCCCCAGCCCGGTGTGTTGAGGTCTCTCTTTTTACCTGAGTAGGTAGGAGTGTTCTGTTCCCCCCAGGGTCTCTTCTGTGCCTTTCCACCAAGGCCATTTGGTTGCCCTCCCTTTGATCTTGCTTGCTGAAGTTAGCTCCTTGTGCTAGTGAAAGGCTCAAACGGTGCAGGGGAAGAGAAGGAGGGAGAAGACTGGAACCCTTCCCCAGAGGGCCCCCTCCTCCCAGCTAGGAACTTGATGAGGTTCTAGAGTCCCGTGGGCCAAGCCCTGTAAGCCTCGGAGCTGATCACGAGTGTAGTGATCTCTCAAGTAGGGCCGTGATGCTCTGTCAGGTGAGGACTGAGAACATCAGGCTTCTTTAAATTTCTTTTATATCCTTAAAAAATTTCCAGATAGCATGTAAATACAGTAATACAGGTTACCACTGATAAATGCCCACGTATTTACGAATGAAATCGTTTAAATTTCTCATTGTTGAGGTGTGAGCGCAAGAACATTCGGGAAGGAAGTAGCCTGTGTAATTGGTAGCCATTAAAACTGAGGTCGCCGTTGTAAGGGAACAAACTTAAACGCTGCCCAAGCTGCCAGACTTTGAAAGTTGTACTTAAAAAAAAAAACGTCTTTTGCAGACCCTCCTTTACACAGCACTGCTATATATGCTGATGAAGAAGAATTCTCCACACACTGTGGTTCACCCATCCCTTCAACTCCTGAAGGAAAAGAAGTGGAGAAAAGGTAAGCTTCTACTTTAAGCAGTTGTTTATTTGGGGTTAGTAGGATTTCCGAGACGCTCTCTCAGGTAGAGGCTTTTAAAACTAAAGCTCTTTAAAGATCTTTGGAGCCAACTTAGTTTTTCCTCAAGAGAACCGGTACATAAAGACTTATTTTCAAAAATTAACATTACTTATAATTAATTATAGGTACAACTTTCCCGTCAAAGAAAACAGTCACGGGGACGTAATTACAGCATGGTGATAGAGGTGATACTGTGTTGTATGTTTGAAAGCTCTTAAGAGAGTAGATCTGGACAGTTGTCACAAGAAGAAGAAAATTTGTAGCTCTGTTTAGTGACAGACGTTAACTAATTGTGGAGATCATTTTTCAGTATATACAAGTATCCAATCGTTACGTCGTACACCTGAAACTAACATATGTCCGTTATACCTCACTTATAAAAAATCCAGTTTAATTAAAGTCATTACAATTGACATTTAACTGATTATTCTAGAAAACATGCTCGTGAAGCTAGTTTAGCTTTAAGGTTAAGACAAGGAGGGAGGGAAAGGATTTTTCAAGTTTTTATTTTAATTCGAATCACCTGGTTCTCATCACAGGTACCCTCCTTCATCCCATTACCTATTTCCCCCCACCTCCTCTCTGGTAACCATCAGTTTGTTCTCCAAAGCTAAGATTCTGCTTCTTGGTTTGCCTCTCTCTCTCTCTCTCTCTTTTTTTTTTTTAAACCCTTTGCTCCTTTGTTTTGTTTCTGTATACATCACGTGGGATTTGTCTTTCTCTGACTTACTTTGCTTAGCATGATAGTCTCTAGCTCCATCCACGTCATTACAAATAGCAATTATTTCATTCTTTTTTAATGGCTGAGTAATATTCCATCGTATATATGTACCACCGCTTTATCTGTTCACAAATTGATGAACACTTGGGCCGCTTCCGTAATTTGGCTAGTGTAACTAATGTTGCTATAAACATAGGGGTGCACGTACCCTTGGAATTAGGGTTTTTGTATTCTTTGTGTAAAAACTCAGTAGTGCAATTCCTGGATCATAGGGTAGTTCTATTTTGAACTTTTTGAGCAACCTCTGTACTGTCTTCCACAGTGGCTGCACCAGTTTGCATCCCCACCAACAGCGCGTGATGGTTACTTTCTCTCCACATCTTCACCAACACCCATTGTTTTTGGGTTGTTGATTTTGGCCATTCTGACAGGTGCGAGGTTTTGATTTGCATTTCCCTGAGGATAAGTGATGGTCGTCTTTTCATGTGTCTGTGGCCGTCTGGATGCCTTTTTAGAGAAATATCTGTTCATGTCTTCTGCCCAGTGTATAATTGGATTATTTGGGGTTTTTTTAGGTGCTGAGTTTTGTAAATGCTTTATACATCTTGGATGCTAACCCTTTTTCAGATATGTTATTTGCAAAATTCTCCCATTCTGTAGGTGGCCTTTTCGTTTTGTTGACTTTTTCCTTTGCTCTGCAGAACCTTTTTGTTATAATGAAGCCCCATCAGTTTATTTTTGCTTTTGGTTCCCTTGCCTCAGGAGACCTGTCTAAAAAAAAGTTGCTATGGCTAATGCCAAATGTTACTCCCTGTGCTGTCTCCTAGGATTTTTATGGTTTCAGGTCTCACAGTTAGGTCTTTCATCAATTTTGAGTTTATTTTTGTGTATGGTGCAAGAAAGTGGTCCAGTTGTCCCAGCACCATTTGCTGAAGAGACTGTCCTTTTCCCATTGGATATTCTTTCCTGCTTTGTCAAAGATTTATTGACCACAGGGTTGTGGGTTTGTTTCTGGGTTTTCTATTCTGTTGATCTGTGTGTCTATTTTTGTGCAGTCCCATAGTGGCGTATGACATATTACGGCTTTGTAATATAACTTAAAGTCCAGAGTTGTGATGACTCCAAGCTTTGCTTTTGTTTTTCAAGGTTGCTTTGGCTATTTGGGGTCTTTTGTGGTTACATACACGTTTTAGGATTGTTTGTTCTAGTTCTGTGAAAAATACTGTTGGGGCAGCTGGGTGGCTCAGTCAGTTAAGCATCTAACTCTTGATTTCAGCTCAGGTAATGATCTCACAGTTCATGGGATCAGGCCCTGCGTTGGGCTCTGCACTGACAATGTGGAGCCTGCTTGAGATTCTCTCTCTCCCTCTCTCTGCCCATCTGCTGCTTGTATTCTCTCTAAGTAAATAAATAAACATTTAAAAAAATGCTGTTGGTGTTTTGATAGGGTTTGCATTGAATGTATAGATTGCTTTGGGTAGTGTAGACATTTTAACAACATTTGTTCTTCCAGTCCATGAACATGGAATGTTTTTCTATTTCTTTGTGTCGTCTTCAATGTCTTTCATCAGTGTTTTATAGTTTTCAGAGTACAGGTCTTTTATGCCAGTGATTAGATTTATTCTTAGGTGTCTTATTGTTTTGGGTGCAGTTGTAAATAGGATTTATTCCTTCATTTCTCTTTCTTCTGCTTCATCATTGGTGTATAGAGATGCAACAGATTTCTGTGCATTAATTTTGTATCTTGCAACTTCACTGAATTCATTTATCAGTTCTAGCCGTGTTTTGATGGAGTCTTTTGGGTTTTCTACATAGAGTATCTTGTCTGTAAAGAGTCGCTTCTTCCTTATGAGGATTTCTTTCTTTTTGTTGTCTGATTGCTGTGGCTAGTACTTCTAGTACTATGTTGAATAAAAGTGGTGAGAGGGAACATCCCTGTCTTGTTCCTGATCCTAGGGGAATAGCTGAATTTTTTACCATCGAGTATGTTAGCTGTGGGTTTTTCATATATGCCCTTTATTATGAAAAGTTCCCTGTAAACCTACTTTGTTGAGGGTTTTTATCATGAATGGATGTTGTACTTTGTCAAATGCTTTTTCTGCTTCTATTGAAATAACCTTATGGTTCTTATCCTTTTATTGATGTGTTGTGTCACATTTATTTGTGAATATTAAACCACCCTTACAGCCCAGAAATAAATCCGACTTGATTGTGGTGAACGATTTTTTTTTAACGTGTTGTTGGATTCAGTTTGCTAGTATTTTGTTGAGGATTTTGCATCTGTGTTCATCAGAGATATTGGCCTGTAGTTCTCTTTTTTTGTGGTGTCTTTATCTGGTTTTGGTATCAGGATAATGCTGGCCTCATAGAATGGATTTGGAAGTTTTCCTTCCTTTTCTGTTTTTTGGAATAGTTTAAAAAGAAAACAATTCTTTTTTTAAAATTTTTTTTAATGTTTATTTTTGAGACAGAGACCGAGCACGAGTGGGGGAGGGGCAGAGAGAGAGAGGGAGACACAGAATCTGAAACAGGCTCCAGGCTCTGAGCTGTCAGCACAGAGCCCAACGTGGGGCTTGAACCCAAGAACCGTGAGATCATGACCTGAGCTGAAGTCAGACGCTTAACCGACTGAGCCACCCAGGCGCCCCATAAAAGAAAACAATTCTATGCATTGGCCTGTTTTAGATACCTCCTATAGGTGGAATAATACAGTATTTATTTGTCCCTCTGTAACTGGCTTATTTCCCTCAGCATCATTTTAATATCAAGTTCTTAAATATGTACCATCTCAGGTGCCCAGATTGCTCTTCTGTAGGCCTTCTGTAAGGCTTGCTCCTATGCTTCCTTTTAGATTTCAGATGTCACCATATCATAGCAATCCACTCTGCTGCCTCATAGAAAATATCACCTTTCTCCATCAGTATATTTTCTTTACTCTGATCTTTTTCTCATAGCATTCACCTCTACCAAGCCAATATTTTATGTTCATTTTTTAATGTTTTTTTAATGTTTGTTTATTTTTGAGAGCGAGAGAGAGAGGGAGACACAGAATCCGAAGCAGGCTCCAGGCTCCAAGCTGTCAGCACAGAGCCCGATGCAGGGATTGAACTCACGAACTGTGAGATCATGAGCTGAAGTTGGACGCTTAACTGACTGAGCCACCCAAGCGCCCCTATGTTCATTTTTTAATTTGTTCATTGTCTCTCCGCAATAGGAGTAGCTTAAAAAATGGAACTTTGTTCTGTTTCCTGCTGTTCCTCGGGTGCCTAGAACACCACCTGGCACGCAGTAGGCATTCAGTGGATATTTGAAACCCTTTGTTCGTGAGGTGTAAGTGCAGTGCCCTGGTTAAGGCAACTGGCCCTCAACCTCTTGTGCTCGTCAGGCCACTTCTAAGGTATTGGGCCTTGGGCCAGACCTTTAACTTCTTAATTCCTTCATCTGGAAAATAAAGTAGTAGTACAATCTACGTCATGGATTGTTGAAGATGAATTTATCCTCTTAAGCTCTTAAAACCGGTTGGTACATAGTAAACTTTCAAACATGAGCTATTATTATTTGTATTTTGTCAGCATTCATTGAGCACCGCCCACATGCCTGGCCCTGTGTGAGGCTCTCGGTTTACAGTAATAACTCAGAGTGGACATGATCCTTGTTGTCCTGGAGCTTATGGAACAGTAGATATTACTGAAGGATCCCTGATGAACCTCACAGGGAAGCGGGTGACCCTGTGATGGGAATTGGGTTGCTGGGGTGGGGGAGGAGTGAATGTTCCATGGAGGTGAAATGGTAGGCACAAAGGCCCCGTGGTGGCAGGGAGCAGAGGGCGTCTGTGGGACTGAAAAGAGCTGGGGTGACTCGGGGTATGGAGACTGAAGAGGGGAGCACACTGCAAGATAGTAATTACTTTGTCACGGATGGTAAAGCGTGCTGGTTGTCCGCCCCAGTGTCTTCCCCTCCTTCCTCAGTGACAGCACATTTGATGTTAGCCGAGCACGTGGCTGTCAGAATGAAGAATGGATCTCCTAGCTTCTCTTGCCCCTAAGGTGTCTTCGTGACTGAATTTTTGCAGCTTCCAGAAGTGTCTTTATAGGGAGGATTATGCCCTTCTTTGCTCCTTCCTTCTTCCTGATGGTGGAAGTGGATGTGGCAGCTGAGGCTTGAGCGGGCGTTGTGGGCAGAGAAGGTAGAGCCGTGAAGTGGAAGGAATACGGGTCTCTGATCACGGTGGGATTGTCCAAATTTCCGTGAACGATCTCGAGTTTTATTAAGAGGCAAATGAAGTGTCTTGTTTAAACCATTTTGGGGGTATATTTTCTAGCATTGCAGCCACACCTAATGCCATCGTATGTAGTTGGTAAGGAGTTCTGTCCTGACGCTCAGTAGTTAAGGAATTTTAAGAAAGCGTGGCGTGGCCAGGTAAAAACTGCGTGTAAAAACTGTCCCTCTGGCTGCTGTGCGGAAAATGGATTTGAGAGAGGCAGGAGTGCACTGGAGAGACCAGTCTGGAAGTGTTTTAGTAGCCCAGGGCCGACAGGACTTGGGCAGTTACAACAGAGGGAAAAAGTGACTGAGCTTAAGCAATAGAAAGTCAACCAGCAGGCTTGGTGGTGGGTTGGCTCTAGGAGGGTGGGTAAGAGTTACTGGCAGACTACTGGCTTTCTGGTTTGTACACGTGGGTCAATGACAGTGCCCGTGACTAGCGCTTAATCCTACAAGATGCAGTAACTTCATCCTGAGGCCATCATGAATTGGTGTAGACATGGCAAAGCTATGTACTTGGGTCTGGCGCTCAGAGGAGAGGGCCAAGCTGGACTTGTGGCTGAAGTTGTTGGCCTCTTGGTGGTGGGGGTGTGGAGCTGTGGGCGAGTGGGGCCTCGCGGGGGAGGCTGCCCGAGAGCAGGCGAGGACGGGGCCCCCCTCTTGAAAGCCCACCTGCCGTCCCGAAGAGAGGAAGGAGCTTGTGAAGGAGAGAAGAAAAGCATCTGGAGGCAAAAGAAGAAAACCAGGGCAGCGCTTGTTCACAGGAGTAGCAGAGGGAGTGTGTGTTGGGTGGTCAGGTGGCCCGAGTGCAGTTGAGAAGCAAGTCACGCGAGAACTGAACGCGTGCATTGTATTTAACCATATGGATGTCCTTGGTAATCTCGGTTTTGATCGTGAGGTAAGCTCCCCAAAAATAAACTATTTGGTAAGTTAGGGTCTGTGTGTGGACACAAAGGGGAGTCAAGGCAGCGGGGAGGCATTGGAGAGAGAGAGCGGCATTTCCCAGGACTTGCGGAGGCATCAGCACCTGCTGTCTCTTACCAGGGATGTGTTCCGTTCTTTGTTCCTTGATCTTGCTCCCTCGCCGCTGTGTGCACAGGTGATGCTGCCCTTAGCTCTCTTCTCTCCACCCGCCCCGAATATTACTGTCATACCTCTGCTCCCCTCGTCTGTCTGTCTGGCCCCGCCTTTCTCCAGGGCATGCCATATCCTGGCTCCGCCGGGTACCCCTAGATGCCCACAGGCACCCTGGATTCCACAAAGGCAAAACCGAGCTCAGTCCCTTCCTCTCTCACCCGGTGTCAACAGGCTCCTTCCGCATTCTCTAGATTAACGGCCTTGCTGTCACCTGGGCGTCATCCCCAGTGTCTTTTATCTCTGACCGGTCCTGTTCGTGTGGCCTGTGATGACCCAGAGGGCCTGCGTTTTCCTCTCCCTGCCCTGCCACAGCGTATGCCCTTGCTGATCTCGCCAGCACTCCCGCAGCAAAGCCCGGCCTGCTGTCCTTGGCTCCGGGATTGCTCTCTCCCTCTGGCCCGCCCACCATACGGCTTCCAGCGCCATCCTTCTGAAATGCCAGCCTTCTCTCCCTGGCATGCCTCGCACCCTTGAGGGGCTCTCTGTGGCCTGTGTGCACGGCGTAGAAGGCCGCTGTGCCAGGCCAGGTAAGTACACTGAGGCAGAATTAGAACGGAAGAGGTTTATTAGTAGACCTTTCTGTGAAACTTAAAGGTAGAAGAATGGGGACCGGGCAGAGATGGACCCAGACTGTAGGGCAGCCCTTGCGGTTCTGACCAACTCACGGAGGGAACCCTGGCCGAGGGACTGCTTGTTCATGGAGCCCCGTAGTGGGCAGAAATGGCCAGGCCTGCTACTGTCTTTGGCCTTCCTACCAGACAGTGGACTTAAAGGAAAGTTCTCATTTTTAATTTTTTTTAATGTTTATTTATTTTTGAGAGAGAGAGAGAGTGCAAGAGGGGGAGGTGCAGAGAGAGAAGGAGACACAGAATCCAAAGTAGGCTCCAAGCTCTGAGCCGTCAGCACAGAGCCGGACGTGGGGCATGAACCCATGAACCACGAGATCATGATCTCAGCCAAAGTCGCACGCTTAACCGACTCAGCCACCCAGGCGCCCGTGAAGGCTCTCATTTTTAAAGTAATTTTATTCACTACGCTTTGCATTTTGAAGTTGGTATTAAATGAATGTTGAATTGAATGAAAAAATGAATTCTCATCTCATCAGAAGTTTAGGATTATTTTTTTTTTCCGTTTCAAAGAAAAAAAGGGTATTCCTTTTTATATCCCCTAATGATAGGTCTAGCGTCTGTGGATTAGCTTTTAGTTCAACTGGTGGCCCATGTACCTGGGAGTGGGAACGCCAGGGAAAGGGCATTTCTTAGACATGACCACATGTCATGTGGTGCAGTAACAGGACCACATGTTGGTCCACACGCTTGGCTGCCCTGGGTGTCGGAAGAAGTGGGAGGTGACCCATAAATCCTGGACATGTGAGAAATCTCACTAAATTGAGCTTGTTTTCATATTGGATGAGCAACCTCTATGCAGCATGTGAATAAAAATGAAGGAAGTGTAAGATGTTGATGGTTTATTCTTTCGCACAGGTCAGACACTTACGAAATCGAAGCAAGTGAAGACACGTCTGTAGAAATGAGTGCAAAAAAGGTGTGTAGGAATGTTCTCTTCTATCTTTTACAACATATTTCATATCCTATCTCGATTGGAGGCAAGCAGAGAAAATGTGCACATTTTACGCAGAGGAAGAATATTACGTTTCAGAAGATACTTTTAGAGTAAAAAGGGAAATGTGTTTTTATGTCTTAAGTGCTTTTCATTACATAGGTCTCAAACCGGCATGTACCCTGTCAGTTTTCACAGCATTCCTGTGTTTAGTTCGGGATCTACAGAGGCAGAGTGAACTTGGAGTGTTCACATGGAGCCTTTAAATCTGGGTTTCCCCACTTACCCACTAATTTTGTTGCCATCTTCCTATTATGTTCAGGCTTGAGGGTGGGAAATGAGAAATGTGGATTTTAAGGCTGTCTACTATTACAGGAAGGATGGTAAGCATTTGTGTTTTCTAAACCAGTAATGCTGATTTCTTGGCATAGCCAGCAAGAAAAATCAAGCCCATTAGCAATGAATCTGAAAGCCCCGAAGAAGGTGATATAAGAAGGAAAGTTAAACCAGCAGAGAAAATGAGTACAGAACAACGTGAACCTGTTTCAGATACACCGCGTATATCTTCGGAACTTCCAGAGAAACCAGCTGAGTCCACCACTCCTAAAAGAGTAGGACCCCTTAGTGCCACGTCTGGTGTTGAAAAAGAGACCCTGGCAACAGAAAGTCGGTCGGTAAGAGCGCGTCTGTCATCCCCATTGGGGAGAAAAACTGACTGAAAAATGTTGAGGAGGAAAATAAAGCATTTCCTCTCTTTCCTTTGATTCTTTAAAAAGCTAATATATATTTTTGTTATAAAAATGTTTATTTTAGAAAATTCAGAAGGTGTAGAAAGGAGGATGAGATCACCCACGATCCCATCCCCGTAAAAGATGCGTGCTCTTTGATCTGTGCGCCTCAGTCCCTTAACGGAGCTTTTTCCTCCCCCTGAGTGGACCGACCTGGTCACTTGGTGTTCTGGGATGCCATTTTCACAAGTGCACGACATTTCCTTCATGAATGTGCCACAGTTTAATCTCTTACGAATGAATGGTTGCAATCAAAAATTTTCAGGTGCTTTCATTCATGAATTTCTTCCTAGCTAAATCTTTGTGTACACCCTCGATCATTTCCGTAGAAAAACATTGCTAAGATAAGATTTCCGGGTCCTAAACACTCTGTTTTAAATTCGTGGCATATGTTATCTTTGGGACAAGCTCTTGATATGTCATTTTATCCATTTGGCTTAATGCTTTGAATAATTCTCATTCACGTTCAAAAAGAATTCTAAGTATATTGTGTTCCTGCTGCCTCATTCTCCACTTTCGGTCTTCCTCCCCCACTGAACAGGTAACATTTCGGCTGGTTTCTGTGTTCTCTTCCTGAGTTTCCTTCTGCTCAAATAAACAAAGAGGGATCTATTTTCTCTTACTGTCCCCTTTCTACGCAAACAGAAGCGTATTCATGTTGATCTGCCTCTTTCTGGTCTGTCTGGTGAATATCCCACGTGAATTTGAGTTGGCAGTTGTTGGAGGTTTTCTGTGAATGTCCTCTCAGGTCAAGTTGATGGACATGCGTTCAGATATTATGTCTCCATAGAGTCTTTTTATGGTGCGGGGATAGTCTACTTGATTACAAAGGAGATGTTTTAGGTGTTTGTTAATATCCCAGTTTTGCGGATTCTCTTTAGTTCTCTGAAGTTTTGCATTGTGAATTTTGTAGCTTTGTTCTTGGTTTTGTCAATTTTAGACTTATAGTTGCACAGATAGTTCAGGAAGTTCCCACACATTTTTCCCCCATCTTAATCTAATTCTTAGATTTTACATAACCAAAGTGCGGTGATTAAAACCAGGAAATTAACCTTGACATAATACTGTTATCTCAAGTACAGAAGCTATGTTTTTAATTGCATGCTTACTTAACGTTCTATGTTCTTGATGAGTGGCTGTTCTCATTATGTTCTGTTATCATTAGGAAAGGTCTCCTTGTAATTTTCTTATAATATTTTTTTGTCTTGAAATACATAGTGTTCGATATTCATATAACCCAGCAGCTTTCTTATGCTCACTTTGCACGGTATATCTCTTTTCGCCCATTTGTTTACAACCTGTTTATTTTTTCCAGTTTTGTTGAGATATAATAGATATATAACATTGTGTAAGTTTAAGGTGTTGGTTTGATACAATTATATATTGCAAAATTAACCACAGTGGTATTCGTTAATATCCCTATCACTTCACATAATTATCATTTCTTTTTGGAAGTGAAGAACATTTAAGATCTATTCTGTTGGCAGCTTTCAAGTATATAATACAGTATCGTTAATTATAATCACTCTGTTGGACATTCCATTCCCAGAACTTATTCGTCTTATAATTGGATCTTTGGGCCAACACCTCCCCATTTCCCCCAGCTCCTAGTAACCACCATTTCTGTCTGTGTCTATGAGTTCAGCTTTTTTTTTTTTTTTTTTGAGAGAAAGCTCGGGCATGTGTACAGACAAGTGGAGGAGGGGCAGAGGGAGTCCAAAATCAGGAGTCCAACACTCACCCGACTGAGCCACGCAGTAAATGGCCACCCAAGCCCATTTACTTTTGATGTAATTTCTAAGTATAATCAAGTTCAAGTCTACCATCTTATTACTGTTTTCCATTTTCCCTTTGTTTTTTTTCTTTCTGTTGCTAATTTTGGATTAACTGAATATATTTTGGTATTCCATTTTCTCTCCTCTATTGACTTCTCAGTTATCCTCTTAATTTTTTTTTTATTAATGTTTATTTATTTTTGAGAGAGACGGGGAGGGAGAGGCAGGGAGAGAGGGAAACAGAGGATCTGAAGTAGGCTCCACGTTGTCAGCACAGAGCCCGATGCGGGGGCTGCAGCTCACGAGCCGTGAGGTCATGACCTGAGCCGAAGTCGGATGCTTAACCAGTTGAGCCACCCAGGCGCCCTATGCCTCTTAATTTTTTTAAGAGTATTTTTTTTTTTTAAGTGGTTGCGTCTGGGTTTAAAAATTTGTATCCGTCTGGGGTACCTGGGTGGCTCCGTGGGTTGAGCCTCTGACTTCGGCCCAGGTCATGATCTCACGGTTTGTGAGTTCGAACCCCACATCGAGCTCTGTGCTGACAGCTCAGAGCCTGGTGCCTGCTTCGGATTCTGTGTCCCACTCTCTCTGCCCCTCCTCTGCTTACACTCTGTCTGTCTCTCAAAAATTGATAAACATAAAACTAAAAACTTTGCATCCTTCAATTGGCAAAGTCCACTTAGAATCAGTATGTTACCACTTCCTACCATACATCCTGCTTCCTGACAGTTCACCATTTCCCACTACATGAATCTAATTACATAACAATATTATTCCATTTATCCATCCGTCATCCTCTGTGCTGTTTTTGTCACATGTTTTACTTCTACATACGTTGTAAACCTAACCTTACGATATTGTCATTTTTGCTTGAAACAGCTATTTCTTAAGGAAATTATGAAAAGGAAAAAATATCTAGTTTTTATGGTTACCCACTGATTTTTCTTTTCCAGTTGTCTTTTCTCATTCCTATAGATCTACGTGTCCTTCTAATACCTTTTCTCTACAGCCTAAAGAACATCCTGTAGCAACCCTTTAGTGCAGGTCTGCTGGCAACAAATTCTCTCATTTTCTTGATCTGAAAGTGTCTTTATTCACCCCGTTTTTATTTATTTATTTTTTATTTATTTTTTATTTTTTTTAAATGTCTACTTTTTTTTTTTTTAACGTTTATTTATTTTTGAGACCGAGAGAGACAGAGCGTGAACGGGGGAGGGTCAGAGAGAGGGAGACACAGAATCTGAAACAGGCTCCAGGCTCTGAGCCGTCAGCACAGAGCCCGACGTGGGGCTCGAACTCACGGACCGCGAGATCATGGCCTGAGCCGAAGTCGGCCTGCTTAACCGACTGAGCCACCCAGGCGCCCTCACCCCTGTTTTTAAAGGATGGATTCATTGGATGCAGAATTCTGGGTTGACATTTTTATCCCCTCCACTCTTTAATTAGGTGTCTGTGTTGTTCTGTGGTGTCTCTTGTTTCTGGGAGAAGGCCGTGACATGGGTCATTGTTCCCATGTTTATTTGTATATTGACTCTGTCCCTTTCCTCTGGCTGCTGTCAAGATTTTCCTGTTTATCTTTTTTGTTTCTTGGCATTTTAACTATGATGTGCTTAAGTATGGTTTTATCTTGCTTTAGGGTTTACTGAGCTTCTTGGATCTAGAAGTTGGAAAATTCCAGTCATTTTTTTTTTCTCAAAATTTAAGTTTTCTTTTTTTTTTTAATTTTTTTTTTCAACGTTTATTTATTTTTGGGACAGAGAAAGACAGAGCATGAACAGGGGAGGGGCAGAGAGAGAGGGAGACACAGAATCGGAAACAGGCTCCAGGCTCTGAGCCATCAGCCCAGAGCCTGACGCGGGGCTCGAACTCATGGACCGCGAGATCGTGACCTGGCTGAAGTCGGACGCTTAACCGACTGCACCACCCAGGCGCCCCTCAAAATTTAATTTTTCTATCCCGTTCTGACTCTTCTTTTGGAATTCTTATTATGTATATTTTAGTATTGTCCCACAGGTTCCTGAGATGCTCTGATTTTTTTTTTCCCCCAGACTTTTTCTCTCTGATTTGCAAATTCGGTAAATGTTTATCACTTTGTTTTCAATTTTACTGACCAGTCTTTTGCCATCTAAAACCTGCAGTTAAGCCCCCAATTAGTGAATGGTGCCCCCTACAGATGTGTCCATGCTCAGGCCCAAGAGTGTCATCACAAGTATCCTTAGAGGCAGAGGGAGATTACACACACAGGAGAAGATGATGTGAAGATGGAGAAGGTGATTGAAGTGATGTGACTACAAGCTGAGGAATGCCAGAGCCACAAAAGCTGGACGAAACAAAGAATAGATTTACCAACCGCCAGCCCCCCCTCCGGGCAGGTCCCTGGAGGGAATGCTGTCTTACCAACACCTTGATTTTGGCCCATTGAAACTGATTTCAGACTTCTGTCCCCCAGAACCGTGAGAGAATACATTTCTGTTTTAAGGCATCAAGTTGTGGCAATTTATTACAACAGCTACAGAAAACTAAAACACTATTCAATGACTTCTTAGTTTTGTGCTCTTTGGTTCTAGAATTTCCATTTAGCTTATTTTTGTTTTTAATGTAGTTTCTCTTTTTCTGCTATCATTAAGCCATCATTTTCTTTACTTTTGGGGACTTTTTTTTTTTTTAAGTTTGTTTATTTATTTAGAGAGAGCAAGAGCAAGAGAGTGCAAGCAGAGGAAGGGCAGAGAGAGAGAGAATCCCAAGCAGGCTCCACGCTGTCACAGAGCCTGACTCAGGGCTCAAACTCACGAACCAAGAGATCATGATCTGAGCCGAAATCAAGAGTCGGATCCTTAACCCAGGAGCCCCATTTGAGACATATTTATGATAGCTGCTTTAAAGTCTTTGTTCTGGGCTAACTTGGGGTCGGTTTCTCTTGAGTATGTTTTTTTTTTTTTTTGCTTTTTCTATGGGTCACATTTTTTTGTGTAACATTTGTATTTTAGTACTTTTAAATTTTGTATTGGAAATTGTTGACAGGCTGTTGAGACTCTGAATTCTCTTACGAATGTTGAGTTTTTATTCTCATTGGTAGCCTGTTTATTGGCTGATCATCTTTAGCTTCTGAAAGCTTTGTTTTATCTTTGGTTAGGGTCAATTTGCAAAAAGCCTAAGGGATTTTTCAAGCAGCTCTAACTCACTGGGACTCAACCTCTGTATTAGTGTTCAGTTGCTGCATAATAAATTACCTCCCACAAACTCAGTGACTTCATGTATATTTACATCTCACAGTTTCTATAGGTCCGATCTAGGCCAGCCTTAGCCAGATTCTCTACGTAGGGTCCCACGAGGCTGAAATCAAGGTGCTCTCCAGGACAGAAATCTGATCTGAGTCACCTAGTTCTCATCTAGGATCGTTCCGATTGTTGGTAGAATTTGAGTCCTTGCCTTTGTAGACCTGAGGTTCTTGGCTTCTCCGTGGGGGAAGCTGGGAGTCCTCCTTAGGTCTTAGTCATGCGGCTCTCTCACAGTATGGCGGCAAACATCTTCAGAGCCAGAGGATTTTCTCCAGTCAGCTACAGTGGAGTCTTCTGTAAGGTGACCTCATCCAGGGAGCAACTATCCCATCCTGTCTTCAGGTGCCCCCCACATTCAAGGGGAAGGAGTTACAACCCCAGATCATTGAGGATCATCTTCCAATTCTGCTGAGAGCCTACAATGTGTCTTTCTAGTGAATCTGGTCAGACGTTGGGTTTAGGGTTTGTGAGGGTGGGTCCAGGGTAGGCCTTCCTCTAGGGTAGTGTTTCTCAATCCTTTTCATTATTGTCCTGACTAAAAAGCCTTTTAGACACTTTCTCTGCTAACCACTCCCTCCCCCAATTAAATTTTAATACCAAAATATACTGTATTACTCTTTATGAAGTGGGGCCCTTTGGAGAGTCACAGACCATTTTAATACCTAAGAATTGTTTCTGCATCCTCTCCTGAAGAATCCCATTTTTGCTCCTTAGGAAAACTATTGCCCTGTTGAGGCTTGCACGCTCTAGAGTATCCTTGTGGCCCCAAGTTGCAGTCTTCCTCCCAGCTCAACTGGATAGATAGGGTTTTTTTGTTGTTTTTTTTTTTAATTTTTTTTTTCAACGTTTATTTATTTTTGGGACAGAGAGAGACAGAGCATGAACGGGGGAGGGGCAGAGAGAGAGGGAGACACAGAATCGGAAACAGGCTCCAGGCTCTGAGCCATCAGCCCAGAGCCCGACGCGGGGCTCGAACTCCCTGACCGCGAGATCGTGACCTGGCTGAAGTCGGACGCTTAACCGACTGCGCCACCCAGGCGCCCCTGGATAGATAGGTTTTAATGAGGTTTAATGAGATCTCTGCATTTTCTGCATGTAATTTCCCCCCAGTGGCTTGTCCCCTATTACCTGTTGTGTTCTGAATCCCATGCCGGCTGCTTTCTAGTAAGCTTGACATAGTCTCATTCTGCGCATGCGGAGGACTCCGGGACCGCAGGGAACACGCACCTGGACTTCTGTGCTCCCTCTGAGCTCCGGTTCCAAGTGCTTCACCTGCTCCAGTCTGGTCTCTGCTGCCTCAGCAGAGTGGGACTACGTGCTCTGTTTGAATTTAGCTTGTTGTGCTGCTGTCGAAATTGCCCGCTGGCGCGGGCGGGGTGGGGAACTGGGAGTTCACGGGGTCCCGGTCTTCCAGTCCTGGGTGACCGCTCTCCAGCACCTGAATCAAGTCGCCTCATCCCCACCCCCACTCCGTGGTTGGTTGTGGCAAGAGAGCTAGTTCGGAAGCCGATACTTCATCCCGGCTTGGAGTGAGATCAGCCGGCCTCCACGCAGTACATTACCTTAAGTAAGAAAAGTTCAGCTACCTCCAAGCCGATCGTTGTTAAAAGCCAATGAAGAGCTATATTTACTTTTTGTGTTGAGACAGTTTAATTTTTCCAGGGTCTCTTTTATGTTAATTTAGCCAGTATACATAATGAACCACTTAGAACTAAATGAGAGTAATAGCTAGAATGGAGAGTGTTTGATACTGTTGTTATAATACGGATGTTTTAAGAGAAGGAAAATTTTTAAATAAAAATCTTTGCTTTTTTTTTTTATTGTAGAAAACTCAGAAAAAGAAGATGTTTCCCGGCAAAAGGAAGAAATCAAGAAGTGAAGCCATAGACTCAGGTACAGAATAGTGTTTTATACTTTGTCAGTCATTCAAGAATTTCATTTTAAAAACCTATTTTTTGTTGTTAAAATAGTAAATTGTAAGTCAATAAAATTGCTACTTTAAAAAGCTGAAAATATGAGACTTTGTAGTAACTGATTTTTTCCAACATCTATCTTGAAAATTTTCAACCTACAGCCAAGGTGAAAGAATCTTACGGTATGTATTTATACACCTAGATTTTACTGTTATACCTCCTTTTATCACCTTAATTTTTCATCACACAGTCTATATTCTTTTGATACATCATGTAGCATATACTCTTCTGTATAGACTTTTTCTAGTCAGCATAACTTTTTTGAGATTGACTCTGTACTTTTTTATCGATACAAATAAAAGTTTATTGAAAAATGGGTGGAAAACCATTTTGTCCCTCTCCTACAGTTCTTTAAAGGAGAAGTCCTTTATGTTTAGAAAATTTGGAAAGTATGGAAAGGAAGATAAAAATCACCCATAACCCAAAAAGAGCCGCCATGCTTTTTGTTTGCTCTCTACTCTTCAAGCCTTTTACCGCACTTTCTCACCCAAAATGGGATCATATGTTTAAGTATTCTACAATTCCATCTTAACGAACGCATGACCTTTCATCCACAGATGTACCAGAACTTAATGTCTTACAATACACTACTGAGACTAAATCACATCGAGTGATCGTTACGTGTGCTAGAAGTGGCCTATTAGGTAGATTAAAATTAAGGAATCACAGGTAACCAAAAAGAGCTCTATTACCAGTAGTGTTGGGTAACAACAGACTGTTACATAAAAGGTACAACGAAGTAGTTAAGAGTCAGCAGTACTTCAGACTCTTTCAGTAGAAATAAGGAGACAGCAGGTAGAGTGACAGTGTAGACAGGATCTGTGAGACTCTGCACCAGGATAGGAAGTGAGTCATGCCTCCCCTTATGTGCCTCTTCAGCTGAAGCTATTTTTGGCAATTGGGTAGGACAGTTTTTTTTGTTGGGGGCTTTCAGAACCCTGGACCTAGAGCCAAAAGATTGATAATCAGTATATTAAATTGACTTTTCTTAATATTCTAGATACGTCCGACTGTGTTCATATTTGGTGTCTAAAAGGAAAGAAAGCCAGTGATCTCATGGAATTAGATGTTGTTTTGTCTGCATTTGAGAAAACCATCCTAGAGTATAAGTAAGTCTTCTGATGTTGTGATACATGCACCTCATACATTGTCCTTAAAGCACGACTTGTGCTCATCCCATGGCTTTTGACACCTCGTATTTTCATCATCGTGTAATTTTACATATATTTACATTTCCGTTATAATTTTTTCTTTAATCCTATGAATTATTTAGTAGTATGTTTTTATACGCCCAAATATGTGACTTCTTTGTATTTATCTTACATCTTAAATATGTTGTGGGAAAATTTGATTGGTGATATTTTTTGTAATTTTGAGGCTTTCTTCATGGCCTAGCACAAAATCTGGGGACTCTAATTCATGGGTTTATGTAGACTCTCTAATTATTGGATCTGTGTAGAATGAATATTTTTCTTGATTCTTTTAATCAATTTATGCTATATATACTTAGAGACTATTTTGTTAGGACATCGTGTTTAAAATTGCTCTGTCTCATAGATGAAACATTTTATACTTCTCTAGTACCCTCTCCATTCCTAAAAATGTTTTTTGTTTTTTTTGTTTTTTTGGCTTAAAATCTAGTTTATCTGATACTACTATTGTGTCACTGGATTTCTTTTGCTGGCATTTGCCAGAATTTGCATAGCCTTTGTCTGACCTTAAAAAATTTTTAATAAGAAATATTAAGCTTTAAATCCAGTGTGTCTATCTTTGTTGACTTCAATCCATTTACATGTATTATAATTATCAATACATTTAGAAGAATGTGTTGATCTATTATTTTGATTTCTTAGATTTTTTTCTCCTTTTTGAGGTTTTTAATTCTAACTTTTGTTAAAAATAGAATTTTTAACTCCTCACTAATAAAAACTTTCACCTCTCCCTTCCCCTACCCAAAAATCCATCATATTTATAATACATAGAGATTTTTAATTCTGGGGTAAGATATACAAATGTTTTCTCTTTCCGTTTTTAAGATAATAAACTTTATTAAGGTATTTATCTGATCACCTTTATTTTATATATTTCTTGTAACAACCTCTGGATATGTCTCTTAGTTAAGTGCTTCACCCAGCACTTTTAGGTGTTACAACTTTTATGTTGTAAAATTTCTAAATCCTTCTGATTATTTTGGTCGTGACTTTGAACTTGAAAGACTGTTTAGCTGGATATACTATTCTAGGTTCTAAATAATTTCCTTAAATACTCTGGAGTACTATTCCTTCGTCTTCTAGTGTTGGTTTGGAAAATTTGGTGTTTGTCGAAGTCTTATTTATATGTGCTGTGTTCTTTCTCTCTATAAGCTTTTAGAATATTTGGTCTTTGATATTCTTAAATTTCACTATATGGGGCCTGACCTTTTGGATCTAAGGTCCTTCTTTTTTTAATTCTAAAATATATTTTTGTCCTTTATTCTATCCTGCCCTTTGCTTTTTCTAGATTTCCTCAATCCTGAAACTAGAAATTTGCTAACTTATTTCTGTGATATATCCATTATGCTATTTATCCCAGCTACTGAGTTCTTAAATTTAGCCATGAGTTTTTAACTAACATTTCTATTTGGTTCTCTTTTATGTCTTATGTTGCTGCTGTCTTCTTTAGAATATTTATTAGGCTAAAGTCAAATTACTGAGTCATCTGTTATGAAATACCTGCTTCTGTTACAATTTCTGATCTGATAGTTTGTTTTCTCTGACACAGTCGTGTTCCTCCAGTGTGTCATTCCCCAGCCTGTGAGCTTAGTTACCCCTGCGCCAGTCAGCTTCCTTGTCAGACAGTGTGTATAAGGGAAGACCGAGTCTTGATCCCTGGGTTCCTGGGAGTGCAAGGGATGGGGGTAGATGAGGCCTAGGTGGGAAGCCTCAGTCACTTATCCCACAAAGTAACCTGTCAGGTCAGGACTTAGCCTTGCCCTCCAGACAAAGTAGTGTTAAGAGCAGATACGCTCCTTACACCATCATTTTCCAGCCCTGGGGGTTTGGTGGGGGAAGGCGGAGGAGGCAGCTGCCCACTTAGTCCTTGTTTCTCTCCAGGCCCCACAAGCACAGCCCAGGTTTGACTCTCGCAAGACGCAGACAGCGGTCTGATTGGCTGCAGCAGTTAGGGAAGCGCGGCTTGTGAGAATCATGCGGGGGAAGAAGCAGGAGACAACCTTGACAGCTCCTTTCCTGCCCTGGGTCACAGCCACCACACATTCTAAACACCTCTTCCTCTCCCCTCGGGGATTTTCACAGCTCAACCCATTTTGAGAGGGGATTTTCGCTCTGGGGTTCTTAAGGGGTTGATCTCAGGGAAAGGAGCCAGCCTGTCATGCTAACTCATCATTATCATTGTAGGAATTCTCTGTTTTACTCTTCTGTACTTACTGTATGTGTTAAAGCCAGTTTGCTGTTAAAATTGGTACAGAAGGTCTCTTACCATACCCAAGACCATCTTGACTGTGTTACCCTTTTCCCATTCATACATCTCTTCTAAAGGAAGAAGAGACTTACTATAGATTTCTGATGTTGTGGCAAAATGGCAGTATCTTGAATTTTAGCATAATATATTTTTGATGTAATTAATGATTTAGGGGGGCGCCTGGGTGGCCCAGCCGGTTAAGCTTCTGACTTCGACTCAGGTCATGATCTCATAGTTTGTGAGTTCAAGCCCCACACCAGGTTCTCTGCTGTCAGCATGGAGCCCCTTCAGATCCTTGGTCTCCCTCTCTCTCTGCCCACCTCCCCCCCCCCCCCTGGTTTTTTTTCTCCCCCGCAAAAAAGGAACTTAAAAAAATGATTTAGGGGTGCCTGGGTGGCTCAGTCAGTTGAGCATCCGATTCTTGATGTCGGCTCAGGTCGTGATCCCAGGGTCATGGGATCGAGCCCAGCATTGGGCTCCATGCTGAACTTGGAGCCTGCCAAGATTCTCTCTCTCTCCCTCTGCCCCTCCCCACCCCACTCAAAAGAAAAAAAGATTTAGAAGAGGTATAGTATTTTTGTTAGACTTTTTTTTTTTTCTTTAAATAGGCTCCATGCCCAACATGGGCTTGAACTCATGACTCTGAGATCAAGAGTCAGATGCTCCACCAGCTGAGCCAGCTAGGCACCCCCATAGACTTTTAAAATTATAAAATACCCTTGTGTTTCTGTCATACCCAGTGATTCTGGTAGAATCACTGATCTTGTTTTATTTTCCTGATATAAAGTATTCTCGACCACGTGAAAAGTTGTGTTTTCTCAGAATCAAGTTAACTATTTGAGGGTCTTCTATTTTTAATACTCATCTGGAACTCACACATGAATAGTTTGTTAAAAGACTTACTGATTGATTGTAAGCAGTTTGCCAATGTACATATACCTAGGGAAGTATGCCATGAAATGCAAACATTACAAACTTAGGCTATTCTATAACTGATTCAATTAGTTATTTGTAGCGAAGTGACCAGATTTTTAAGGCACTAGAATTTGAAAGAGCTGTGTCTGACTCTTGTATGTAGACCACCACCATTTTCAATGGTACAGTCTACCAATTTATCAACATTATAAGCCATATGCAGAAAGGCCTACCTAACCGGTTTTCCTAATTTTTTGTGTTTTTAACATCTTAAAATCGTGATTTCATATTTATATTAGAAATACTTTTTTTTTTTAAAGCTGGAGCTGATGTATTTGTTTAATTATAAAACGTATCATCTTAACCATTTTTAAGTGCATAATTCACTAGTGTTAAGTATATTCATATTGTCGTGCAACAAATATCCAGAGCTTTTTCCTCTTGTAAAACTGAAAGTCTGTACCCATTAAACAATTTCCCATTTCCCCGTCTCTGCAGCCCCTAGCAACCTACTTACTGTTTCTATGCGTAACTACATTCGATACCTCACATGAGTGGAATCACGCAGTATTTTTCTTTTTGTGACCAGCTGATTTCACGTAGCCTCATGTTCTCAAAGCTTATCCATATTGTAGCACATAACAGGATTTCCTTTTTTAGGGCTGACTAATCTTTTATTGTATGAATATAGCACACTTTTCTTTATCCATTCATCCACCTGCCTCTTGACTGTTGTGAATAATGCTAAAATGAACATGGGTGTGCAAATATCTCTTTAAGATCCTGTTTGCAGTTCCTTTGGATCCGTCCCCAGTAGTGGGATTGCTGGGCCATAGGGTTTATACTTTTTGAGGAAGCTCCTTCCTGTTTACCATCATAGCTGCACTGTTTTACAATCGCACCCATGGTGCAGCGTTCCAGTTTCTCTGCCTTCTCACCAATACGTGTCATCTCGTTTACTTGTGGTGGCCATTCTTTTTTTAATTTTTTTTTTTCAACGTTTATTTATTTTTGGGACAGAGAGAGACAAAGCATGAACGGGGCAGGGGCAGAGAGAGAGGGAGACACAGAATCGGAAACAGGCTCCAGGCTCTGAGCCATCAGCCCAGAGCCCGACGCGGGGCTCGAACTCACAGATCACGAGATCGTGACCTGGCTGAAGTCGGACGCTTAACCGACTGCGCCACCCAGGCGCCCCTGTGGTGGCCATTCTGATGTATGTGAGGTGATAGCTCACTCTGGTTTTGACTTGCATTTCCCCGATGATTAGTGATATTGAGCACCTTTGTATATGCTTGTTTGCCATTTATATACTTTTTTTTTTTTTGAAAAGTGTTCAAATCCTCTGCCCTTTTTAAAATTTGAGTTATTTTGGCGTTGAGTTGTAGGAGTTCTTTATATATTCTGGATATTACCACTTGTCAGACATATGGTTTGAAAATATTTTTTGTGATTCCTTGGGTTACCTTTATACTCTGTTGATTGTTTCCTTTGCTACATAGAAGGTTTGAAGTTTGATGTCATCGCATTGTGTCTATTCTTGGTTTTGTTGCCTGTGGCTTTGGTATCATATCCAAGAAATCCGAGGCTAATGTCATAAAGTTTTTCCCCTGTGTTTTCTCAGCTGTTTTGTAGTTTCAAATCTTACATTTAGGTCTTTAATCCATTTTAAGTTAACTTTTGTACAAGGTAAGGGTCCATCTTCATTCTTTTGGATGTGGATATCCAGTTTTCC